GATGGCAGACGAGTAGAATAGATGTTTTTTTTCTGCTTAATGTTGTTGTTTTTTTGGATTTGTGAAGAAGTGAGTGAGTGATGGAGTGAATAAGTGGTTGTGACGGATTGGTTCTATTCACTTTGTAAAGTCGTTGGTGATTGATGATTTTATGTCAGGAGAGCAGTGGAGTCTCATATTATTTATTTAAGTGTTTCCTTTTAAATTTCCTCTCATTTTTTATAGGAAGTTGAAGGCCAGGGATCTTGTTAACAATGAAATGACTCGATAATGACAATCGCCTTACAACACTAACTTCAGTACTTTAATTTAGCTCAAATTTTCAGTGAATGCTACTATTGTTTCAGGCATCTTAGGACACTCACTCACCTTTACAAGACTTCATAAATCCAAAACGTTTTCCTAAATAGCGAAGTTTCTGAACCTTTCAGAAATACCAAGAACATGAAATATGACTTTATCTCTGCATCTCAGAGTTAAGATCTGATTTCTTTTTTTTTCATTTTCTTTAGAACTACACGAATAGTACTTTGTAATTTGTCAATAAGACGTATGTGTTCACTGCTCTGATATTCTTTACCAAATGACCTTTATCGTGATTATCAGGTAACATTACGTTTCGTCATAATTCCTTTCGCTCTCTTTGAGGTCATTATCACTCTTCATTTTCTTAATATGTATCTTATTATATCTTTTTATGTTATTGTTCTTATTATTACCATTATTATCATTATTGTTATTATTATTATCATTACCATTATTATCATTATTGTTATTATTGTTATTGTCATTATCATTACTATTATTAATATTATTATAATTATCATTATTATTATAATTATTATTATTATTATTGTTGTTTCTATTATTGTTGTTATTGTTATCACCGTCGTCGATCATTATCTTCTCTATTACTATTGTGATTTGTTAAAATTGTCTTTTGATTATCATTATGGTCTATTTTCATTATCATCATCTTCTAAGTATCATTATTTTTTATTTTTATCAACATCATTATCATTATTGTTATTACTATTAGAATTAAAATCATCGTTCTATTATCATTTGAAATTATTGTTTCAGCTTCAGCAATATTAGTTTTGTCAATTATTATCGTTATCAATGCATCGCAACACCAGTCCT